TTAAAAGAGGCCATTGTGAATAATGAGTACTGTAAATTTTGGTACTTTAAGTATATTTTCATGCTAATACTATTGTACTTTAACTTAAGTAAGAGTCTGAATTCCTGAGTTTTACTTGAACAGAGTATACGTACATACACTGTAGTATTGCTACCTTTAGTGAAGTAAAACCTCTGAGTACTGGCTGTTTTCAAAATGATGTAATGTTTTCCTGTACCAAGCTATTATTTCCAGTAGTGGCGAGTGTAGTAGTGTAGATATTATCCAGTCTCAGCTGTTTAGAAGCTGTCTTACCTACAGTGTTGGTAAGTAGAGAGCCTACAGCTAGTATCATACATTTAAAGGGTTTTAATATTTGATTTTCTGAGGATCAATAACTCAAACAAGTATTTGCTATGTAAAGATATAGTGCAGTAATGTCTTCCTGAGCCGGGAGTGAAGTTGCAGTCTATCTTTATACTTCATTCATTCACAATCCTCTCTCTCTCGCTCCTCCTGCTTCTTCCTAATCTGAGTATACGTCCACTCTTTTAGTTAAACCAACCAGATCTTGCCACGTTCTCCATCAGCAAAACACGTCGCTGCTGTCAAACTTTGGCTTCCTTCCTCAAACCATCATAACCATTTTCCCAGTAGAGACGATAGAGGAATCTACCAAAATATGACTCAAGTTGAAATAAACCAGAATTATTCTTTAGATCTTTCTTCAGACACGATACTGTATTAGAGGGCAGGTTTACAGATTTGACAGTGGACACACACACACACACACACACACACATGGGCGGGGGAGACCACACCAACGGACAGCCTCTCTGAGGGTTCCCTCCTCATGGCAGTAACGCCGCCGAATCGTCAGCTCAAGATGGGACCAACACTCAGACACTAATCAATGCAATGCACCCTGGGCATAGCTAGGGAATGACCCGTGTGTGTTGCAGAGTTGCACACACACACACACTCGCGCACACACCTCCTCAGACAGCAGACCGATTACGCATCATAACACAGCTGATTTGCCCCATGGGTTGACACTCGCTGTCCAGTCCAATCATATAACCTTGGCGGCCCGGCCCTGTGGTGTTTCTGTTTGTCTGCGCCCAAGTGTTTACATGCTCAGGGTTCATCGTTGCTGTTGTTCCGCAGCACTTTCAGCAACATAATTTGTCACAACTCGTAAAGCGTTAAGCCAGGAAGAAAAAAGCTGAGTGCAGCAGAATGGAAGAGAGAAAAAAAGTGTGTCATTGATTTTGAGCGTTTATTTTCTGAGAAAAAGGTCACACTGGGAAATACTTGGAAAACTCCGTGAGGGCTTTGACGATGCCCTCTTGGCCTTAAATACATCAATGCTCACAAATAGTACTCCGCCTGAGGCTATATCAGCCATTCGTATGATACACCACGGCTCGCTTTTACAGCACTTCACATGCTGAATCCCCCCCTGAAATGGATTCCTCATGACCTCTACAGTACAGAAACACAGAAAAAACAACTACTTGCTCTCCTGTAAACTCCCCATCGAAAAGATCTGCGGGCCAAACCGCGCTCCTCCACCGCTGTCCGATTTCTGTTGTTTGTGATGGCAGACACGCAGCATGAAAAGGGTCTGGGGGTTTAAGGCAGCTACTAGTTTGCATGTCATACGAGAAAGACATTAAAACAAAAGGCCGCGGGGAAATCGAAAAACTTAAAAGACGTGAAACACACCCTGTAGTTATGATCAAATTGTGAGATTTAGCATAGGGGAACCATGCATACGGGCAGGGATTTATGTGCAGATGTACGATAGAAGCCAGATGGAACCAGACAGACACACATACACACTGAGTCCGCTCTGTGCTATTTTGGGAGATGGGGAAGAAAACGGTCTGACTTGGCAAGTGTACATATGTGCGCTTGTGTAAGCAGTGGGTCCCCGTACGTATGGGGAAGTATAGGGTCTGGCGCGTGTTTCGTGTGGTGACCCACTTTTCTTTGCATCTGGACCTGATAACTTCCCTCTCCAGCAGTAACGGGGACGAGATTGACTCAGTGATGTCTCTATCTGTCTCTATCTTGACTGACTTTGAAACTTGGCTGCAGCAGCCAGGAGTTTTCATCCGTAATCAGGCAGCAGTGAGTGTGCCATGTTAGATGAGGAGCACGCTCCTCACCATCCTGGATTGATGCATGCACATAAACTACATGTGGACCAAAGCTGTTTTTAAAGCTGCTCTTGGTTTTTTGGGTTTTTTTGTGATTTAAGTGGATGGTTTACATTTCATATGGAGTGAACCGAGAGCTCTTTCAGGCCATACCAAAAGAAATCACACCATTGTTTGGTTTTGAGTGGATTGCGGTTACATGCTGTCATATCGTCATTCAAACAAGGCGTTCGCTTTTTAAATCTAAGTCCTCTTAAAGGTACAGTCTCATATTTTTATCGTAGCTGCCAACAGCCCCTTGAAATCCCTAAACTGTTCTGCACTGTAAAGCCACATTTCCACCAAGTAGTCCAGTTCAGTCCGTTACACGGTATAACAGTTATTTTCGCGTTTCCATTTGCAAAAGTTGTGGTTAAAACACTGCAGACAACTGCCACACGGGACATCCTGCACAAGCCCGCCGCTTTTAAATAGGGAAGCTCGTCAATAGCGACTGCAATTTTTAATTCACTCGACCCAGATTTTTTTTAAAAATGGCAGATCACAAAACTTTGAGCCATATGATTCACAAAGTGCAGGCGTTCCTGTGATTGGTTGCGAGGGTCCAGTTGAAGATGAGAATCCCACCTACACCCTAGTGGAAGGACAAAATGTGTCCGTGCAGGTTGAGCAGTGGGGACAGTTGCTGAGTCCCCACTCAGTTGGTCGAGTGGGGACTGTTGGTAATTAATGGAACAATCTCAGCTTAATGTCCACTAACATTCACCAGAGCTTTTGTCTTCATTAGCAGATCGAGTTTTATAAGTTGAATTCTATATTCTACGTTATAGATGTTCAAACTGCATTATTTCTGAGGAATTAAAGGGCATGTTCGCTTAAAATAGGCACGACAGGTCATTCTTAAGTTGAGATTGTTGTGCACGGCTGTCTCCAACGTCCAATTTGTGTTCTTCTGTTCTCTCCATTCCCTCAAAGGTCAGCAATGTCAAGAACACTTTGTTTCTGAAAGTTTCTCAAAGGTCAACTTTATGTTGCCTCTGTGAGCAAATCCACTGACTGTGGCGATTCCATTGAAATGAATCCACTGCCAAGAGTTAGAGGAGGAGATGGATACCTATCTCACCTCTGTGCACTAAGTTTGGCACGAGGTTGAGTTAGCTTAGCATAAAGACTGGAGACAAATGGATCACTAGCAGTGAACATGACAAGTTGGGGTTTTTCTGAGGAGTAATATGCTGTATCTATTTCTTGCCGGGTGCAGTGACTTCCTTTAGTCACCTTTTCACCTCCCCGTAAAAACCACAATGTGTCATTTTTACATTTCTGTCGTTAGTTTCCACAAAAAAAAAAATGTTTTTAGGACTGATAATAGCCACAAATAGCTTTTTATTTTTCACAGTTATAAGTACAGTATACACCGTTATATTTATGTGAAAAAAAGCTATTTTAATGCTTTCTTGTGTGGCTGACTGTTGGAGGGAACAGTGCAGAGGAGCCGATGGAGGATTTTCTCCGCCACTGTTTTGTGTGATTGCCTCTGATCTCTTCAATCTTGGCGAAACAATTCTTCTAATATCTCCGCAGCCACAACACAGGGGTTAGTCTTTTATAGATAAACTGCCAAGACTGACAGCTCCAAATAAATCGGGAAGCTTTAGAGAAAAAAAAACCCCAACCCTTTAAAAACCTGGTCAATTTTCAGATCTCTTTGTGTGTCACTGACCTTACCAGGATCCTCTGACCCCGCTGGACTTTACTGTATCTTCTAATATACTCGCCTTTTCTTTCCCCTAGCTCCCCGGGGCCTATGCTCACCTCAGGATAAAGACATTGTTAGTGTGACTGAGGTGTGTTGCTTTAGAGACTGACTTCTGCTGCCACACGGGGTCCCAAGGGAGCCAGGCTAACGTTAGCCTGATCTATCTGCCTCAGTATTGGTATTGATCCGTGTTTAGTGTCGATGCCGGCACTGGGGAGTAATGATCACACATAGTCACTTGGACACACACTGCCGCAGCACTGCAGACACAATCAGTCTGAGCGTGGAAGGAGATGCATGCCCAATAGCCACACACACACACACACACACACACCTGCCTGAACACACGTACACACAAAGTCGTACAAAATATTCTCTTTCTCCTCCTGCCACACTGCAGAGCCTCTGCTGCGCCACTCCAGCAATAAAAAAAACACACACACACACACACTTGCAATAAGCTGAGACGAGCTGATATAGCCACAACAACTGAGCAAGCGATGCCAAACCCTCCCCTCCACACACACACACACACACACACACACACACACACACACACACACCACCTCCTCCTCTCCCTCTGAAGCCGAAAGCCAGAGCAGACAGATAAGCAGGCAGCCAGAGACGGACTAATCCTCCCACAGTGAGAGACGTTTTTCGGATGGTATATGATGAGAGTCACGCTAAACAGAGAAAGAGAGGCAGAGGATGAGGAGAGGAAGAGGGAGAGGGAGGGGCGGCATGGGGAGGGATGAGAGGCGAAAGGGGAAAAGTGAGGCGAGGATACAGATTAGCAGAATGATGAGGACAAAAAGGGATTTTTAAGCGTTATTAGTGTGAAAGGATGAGAGTTTATTTTAATTCCCGCCCTCTTCCATTCCCCCCCTCCCTCCTCCCCTCCTCACATCCTCACATCCTGCCACTGTCTTGCACCTTTTTTCTTTTTTAAATAAATGTTGCTATTTTGCAAACCGAGCCTCTCAACTCTGCTTACCAGTCTCTCAATCACTCTCCCATCCTCTCTCTCTCTCTGCACCCCCCACCCCCTCCTCATCCCTCTCTCTCTCTCCCTCTCTCTCCATCTCTCTCCCAGTCTGACTGAGACTGATGTAGGTCAGTGCGTCTGGAGCTTGTCTGGAGCTGCAGAGAGCCTCAGAGCTCCACGCCAGGTTCTCATCGACCCCTGTAGCTGCTGCCGCCGTGCCCGAGCTGAGGACAGCGCTCCCTGGGCTACGTGAGGACACCACCAGCCTGCCTGGAGGAGGATGTGCCAGCAACACAGGAGGAGGAGGGGGAGGAGGAGGAGGAGGAGGAGGAGGAGGAAAGAGGAAGGGGAAGGGGGTGCGGGGTGATATGAGGTGTCTGTGTAGCATCAAAAGCTTAGTCAGCGTATGTTGTTTGCATGTGTGTCGAAACGCAGACGTACATGGAGACGGGGAAAGGCAAAGCGGAAGGTAGAAATGCAGGAGATCGAGGGGAGATAGGCGTTGCAGTTGTCTGTCTCTCCTCCGTGATATGCAGCACTACAGAGAGTTTTTTTGGGGGGGATACATTTTCATGCAATGTTGCCTCCACATTCCCCTTCCTGCACAGGCACATACTCTGTGTGCCTCTTTCTCCACTCACTACCTAACTTCGTCATGATGCTTTCTGTCTCTTTCCCAGATCCGACTCATTTGTGGCTGCAGCCATCGACGCTCCTGCGAAAACCACAACGACCCGGCAAACTCCAAACTCTGATGCGATTTCCCTTCCAAAAGAACAAAAATTCTTCTTTTATAGTATATCCATTCCTGCACCGCTGCAAACGGATCCAGGTCTGAGACGATGTCCTCCACCGAGAGTGCTGTATATCGAAAGTGTCCGTCCTCCAACTCGTCGCGGTACCCTTTTGATGGAAGCCAACGAGTGCAACGACGACGACTTTTGACGACTTCTGTGTCTCCTGATTCTGCTCTCCTTTCCTTCCCTTTCCCTCCTCCCTCCTTCTCCTCTGCTCTCATTCTCCGCTCCTTCCCACTCCTCTGGCTTTTAGACAATGCCCCCAAAAAACCGATCGTTGTATCAGAGAGTCTGAGTGTAGTAGAGTGCAGCTGTGAGAGTGGCTGAGTGTGTGTGTGAGCGAGTGTGTGTACGTTTGTGAGCGAGTTTGGTATGTGTGTGTGTGTGCGCGAGAGAGAGAGAGAGAGAGAGTGTGTGCTCTCGATTTGACTCTGCAGCACGTCTGGGTCCGGCAGCGGTACTCTGGTGCTTAGCTGGCTCTGTCTTGCCGGTACTGTTTGTACATTTGTGTGTGTGTGTGTGTGTTTAAGTGTGTGTTCGTGTGAGTTGGTCTGCCTCGCCGTGACACAGCAATCATCTGACCGGCCTCGTCATCGCTATTCGGGACGAGGGATATTTGGAGTTCCTTGGGCGTGGCGTCGCCGGCCCGAACCACACCTCCCTCTTGCACTCATTCATTCATCTGTTTCCTTTCATCTGACTCCCATCGCTGTTTTTTCTCCCACCTTGACCAAATCCTCTGGATTACAGTAGCAATGGAGGGATAAAGCGAGTGAGCAAGCAAGGATTCACAAATCAACTCACTCTCTTCATAACAAGACATTTTTTAAATTTTCCGTCTCCGTTCTTTTTCTACTGCTTTGCGTTCACGCTTTATTTCGCCTCTGGTTTGTTCACCGTCAAGGATGCTCTCTCTCTCTCTCTCTCTGTTCTGTCTTTGCATCCACCTGATGCGCGCTCGCTCTTCCTCTGTACCGCTTTCTGTGTGTCTCCATGCAGGATTTTCAAACGCGACGGAAGGGAAGGAAGGAAGAACATCGGGATCGAGTGGGAAAAGAATAAGAAAGATGGAAAGAGAAACTAAACAATTACTTCTCCGAACAATTTGTTCTGTTTATGTCCAAACTTAAGCTTGATTATCGCGCGTAAATAAGGAAGTAGAGACTTGCAGGCATCAAGAGAGGGTATTCAGGAGGCACGCCTGTAATGCAATTAAATTAAGGCCTCAAAACTACAAAAAAAAGGCTTCTTATCTTGGATTGCGGTATTGTGTAATGTGTTCCTGTTATTTTGTCCACTCAGCCAGTTTTCTTACCTCTCCGTTTATTTGTTATCTCTGATTGTTGGGGAAGAAACACAGAAGGATACAAGATAGCATGAGGTACTGTATGTTCCATGGTAACTAAAAAATAAGTGACTTAGTGTTGTTGTGTAAGGAGGAACAGCAGTAGGTGGGTGAAATGGTGAGATGGCCACCTGCACTGTCTGCCATATCCACACAAAACACAGAGAGGACAAACTGCCTGTGGATGAGTCACACTGAGGGAGACAGAGAGAGGGAGTGTGTGTGTGTGTCTGTATGCAAATGAGTGCTTAGTCTTCAGTTTTTCTGTTTAACTGCAGAGCGGAGGGGACTTCCCACCGCTTTTTCAAACTTTCATTCCCTGGAAAAGCACCAGTTCAGTTAGGGCTGCACACACATACACACACACACACACACACACACACACACACACAAAGGCCTCATTGTGTCTGACCCCTGGATGACGAGCAGGCAGGTCAAAGTGGCACGTCATTGCTCGGCGGTTGAAAAAGGCAAGTTCATGGTAATGAGCACCTCCGTTTGAAAGACGCACACTTTCTCTGCAATGCACGCTCCTCTCCTCTTTCCATTTCCATCTCTTTTCTATCTGTTATCGGATTCTTGATGTCACCCCTCGCTTTCATGGCACACTCTGACGACTGAGGTTTTTTTTATTTTTTCAGCCTTGGTTCTAATAAATCCAGCTCCCTGCAAAAACGTTCACACACGCAGGCACGTGCTGTACACTCATTTACCCTGTAGTTTGCTCCAGGGTTAGGCTGACACGGCCGGTTAATGTTTATATTTTATTAGAAATGGAATATTAAACACAGCGTCAGTCAGCTCTGAAGGTTTTTAATGTTATTTTTAAAGCCCCTTCAATATTTTCACTGTTACCAAAGGTTAGCCAAATGACATTTTACAGGTGTGATGATACAGGCCTGTCACAAAAACTAAGGAAAACCCATCTCTTTTTTGTTTTTATTCATCAAGTTTCAACCCAGAATTACCAGCGGTACATCATCCTCAGACAACCCACACCATGTCTTAACTCTAGCTCGCACCGCGCACACACTTTGAAGAAGTCGCTGTAACAGCCCCAGTCTCCCACAGCACTCCCTCATAATGACACCATCCCTTTAGGCGTCAACAGAGCGCCGGTGTATTTGGGGTAAACACATGGCTCCGGCAGCTCTGAAGATGACAGAGCGATAGGCCGGCGTGATGGTGCTCGGCGGCCCCGGCGCTGCCAGAGCCGCACATCTGTCGGTGACAGAGTGGAAAGCTACCTGACAGCTGCTTCTCACACATCAGATAAGATTACAGGTCTACCTGCTACACCTGTTCAAACAAACCCGCGTGTGCGTTGAGATAGAGAGAGACGGCAAACTAATCCGGTGGCAGGTGCACTTATAATTGGGGCAGCTAAAGATATAGACTGATGAAGGAGCTCATTATTATTTATGTGTTTGATTTATGTCAGCACCGAGGGGGGTAAAGGGGCCGGGTTGTGAAATTTTAAAGAGTTTATGCCTTGTTTTATCCTGACATAGATCACATCATGAATTAAGAATAGACAGCGTAAGTGCATAAGTGATGTTGGAGAACATGAAAATATAATCAGACAAGATACAAATAGATATGTTTTGTTGATTCTTGGATCCGAATTCTCTTCGGTGACCATCAACTGAAGGACACAAAGTTCAGCACAACACCTCAGTTCAGCTGCAGGATCAACACGAGCCTTCGATGACATCACATGCATGATTTAACGACGGCAGCTCAAAGCAGCCGATTACAGGACGGAGATAAATCCGCCGTGCATGCTGACACACACACACACACACACACGCGCGCACAACGTACACCTCATCAGCTCCCGTTGGCTCTAGCCTGACATCTAGCGACACAGGCTGTAATGTGATCCTACATGACATGTGCATGTTAACATAATGGAGCTGTGGAGGAAGAGGAGGAGGAGGAGGAAGCTGTGCGTTGTGCAGCGCTGCTGTGGAGTCAGTGTGACTTTGTTTGTTTTTTGTTTGTGGCCCCGATACATAATCCTCTTCAGGTTCCTGGTTTACCATAAAGCACCGATGAAGGGTGTGAAGAACAATCATCGCCTCACTCGTTTACACTCGCTGCTGTGATGTAATGCTGCGAGCTGCTGCCGTAGTGATTTGTAAATAACAGGTTGGATGAGCCGTGTTTGGGTGGGTTCGCTCTCCGCCGCATCCCTGCTCACCGCACTGCAGTCTGACTAACGTGTCGTGGCTGCTCTTGTTGTTTCCTCAGCATTTTTTACTTGCCCTCCAACATCACACATAACCTAAATTTAGTTGATACTCATCCACATGCAAGTAATGAAGTTCTAAGTATAACCTTGCCAGCTTCCCCTTGCAGCAGGGGAAAGGACAAAGTGCCCCTTTAAAACACACACACACACACACACACACACAAATAACGAGTTCGTCTTTCCTTCAGTGGAGTCTGACAGGAATGAGGTCAGACACACCGATCCTCATTGCACATTATTATTATTATTACCCGTTTTTTCTTTATTCAGCCAATGAGAAGCCGGGGGGAGGGGCTTGAATAAAAAAGCAGGATGGAGACAGACGCCGATTGGCTTTTATATCTCGCGATGAGGGTATAAAGCGGCGAGGTTCTCGTTGTTGTGTTTACAGTAATATTACAGAGCGCTCAGGAAACAGGGAGACTATGAGAACGCGCAGCTGCTCCATTCAACCACATGGTTCCTCAACCGCACAGACAAGCTGCGCCACAGACAGCCAGGTTCGCTTAAGGGACTTGCACTGCTGTTGCCCTCAGCAGCGCATTTTGAGGCTCGCAGGGCGAGTTTTCAGCCGCACAGGCAGTTGAAAGTTGCCGTTGATTAGTTTCGGGATTTATTATTTTTTTTTTTTGTTTCCGTGAAGCGCACTGGTAAAGAGTTCAGAGAACAGTCGTCTCCAAAGCGTGCTGAACTGAAAAGAGGAGACTTGGATGAACTTTTGAGACCAGTAGTCGTCAGCGGTCTGGTTTTAAAGCGCCTGAAATAAGAACGAGTGAGGAGTTATTTCTTTTTGTGAAAGCCTAATAGGCATTTTTTTGCGAACTTTGTCAGTAGCACTGAACTGAACTGTGTTTCCAGACACTTAGAGGACAGGATGGTGCAGCACATGAGCCAGACAGAGAGCGCCCACGCTCATTCTCCCGGCGGAGACTCCACGGACACGGGAGAAATGGACTTGGAGATGGATGTGTCTCCGACACCCGAGTCCCCCTCCTCCGGGGTGCGGAGAGACTTGGCGTGGTGCAAAACTCCGACGGGGCACATCAAGCGACCCATGAACGCGTTCATGGTCTGGTCGCAGATCGAGAGGAGAAAGATTATGGAGCAGTCGCCGGACATGCACAACGCGGAGATCTCCAAGCGGCTGGGGAAACGCTGGAAGCTGCTGAAAGACACGGACAAGATCCCGTTCATCCGCGAGGCGGAGCGGCTCCGCCTCAAACACATGGCCGACTACCCAGACTACAAGTACCGGCCCAGGAAGAAGGTCAAGTCGGGAAGCGGAGCGAGTAAGCAGACGGACCGCGGGGAGAAGAGCGGGGAGCGCAGCGCCAAAGCCGGTGTGAAGAGAAGCCCCGCGTCCAAAGGAGTGAGCCGGACGCACAAACAGGGGGGCATGAAGAGCGCCACGGGGCAGGACTACGCGTCTCCCGGTGATCACCAGGCGCTCTTCAAATCCAGGTCAGTGTCTGGAGCGAGACAGATCCCTGACAAACGCACCGGAGAGGCGAGGCGCGGCCACATGTTCGGCGGGGCAGGCAGCCTGGAGAGCGGGCCTCCCTCCGTGGGAGTCCCGGCCAGTCCCACCCTGAGCAGCTCAGCAGAGTCCAGCGACCCGCTCAGCCTGTACGAGGAGCAGAGTCCCGCGGCCAGCGAGTCATCACACACCGCGCGCCTCAGGTACGCTCGCGCCTCCTCTCCAACACCGTCAGCCTCGCACTCTTCCTCATCGGTGTCATCCTCATCATCAGACGAAGAGTTTGAAGACGAGCGGCTTGAACTGAACCCGAGCCCCGGGGTTGAGAGCATGTCCCTAGGCGGCATGGGCTTCTCCGACCCAGAGCTGGACCGGGACTTGGACTGGAGCTTCGGGGAGTGCGGGGCGGGGTCTCACTTCGACTTCCCCGACTACTGCACCCCGGAGGTCAGCGAGATGATCTCAGGAGACTGGCTTGAGTCCACCATCTCCAACCTGGTGTTCACCTACTGAAAAGGACCACGGTGGAGAGGAGACGCGACGTCCCCCCCACGTTTTGAACTGTTGAACTCCCCTAGACAGGCGCGTGCGTCCAGACCAGAATATTTCCTTCATTCTTTCACAAGATAAGGGAGAGTGAAAACAGGAAAGAAAAGGTGGCCTGTGTGCGCGTTGAAGCCCAGGTACGCGCGCCGCACACAGACTTGGACAGCGCTCCGTGCGCTTGACGGGAACGCGCAGACGGGGGAAATGCTTAGTTTGCATTTGGACACGGAGGAGGAGTGAATGTAAGCAGAGAGCAGTGAAACACACGGACTTGAGCTCAAGTGTTCAAACCAATCCGCAGATGACGAGGACTCAGAACGAACTTTGAATCTTAATGTTGTTTTGGGTCGGGAAAAGGGACATTTACTGGACAGCTCGTCATGTTGGGCTTTGTTAAAGATACAGCCAATTAACATTGACCATCAAGTTGCTATTCAGGTGTAGTTTTTTTCCAAAATCAAAATAGTTTCAATATCAACACGCATGCCCTCCGCGATAAGGAGGATTTTGTTGTTGTTAAATGCGTAAAAATGTTCATTGCTGCGTAATTACGCAATTTGTGTGACCATAGGACACAATTCACTATCACCAGCTTCTCTTTCAACGGCAGGACTTAAACACAAAGACTGACTCCAAACTTCAGAAAGCTCTTTTCTGAACCTTTTTATTAAACACTCAGTGCACAATTCAGGACCAATGTTCCCCGACGCGCATCCTTTCTGCCTAGTGCTTCAACTTTGTAGTTCCTCTGTGTCCGATGACGTTTTTTATATCGATGTATTTATACCGGCCAAACTTTTTTATACATAGAAGTATTGTTCTCGTACAGGTCTCGTTTGTGTTTGTGCACATACACCTGTCTGTATCCAGCGCGGAAGGGCTAGAAGTGTATCTTATTTAAAATGTCTGACTTCTCTCACTTTTAAGGAGATTTGAGTGTGTCATGATTTTCTACTTGTATTTTTGTACAAAATCTATAGAAAGGGGGTTTCCAGCGAGTGGGTAGCCTACAACATTGTTGTTTGGGTCTACATTGGTGTTTAGACGTGCAGAGGGGGGTTTGTTTGGCACAATCTGACCTCACACAGTGTTTACAGTATTTACCCACATGCTTCTTAATGGCACAGTGACTCCAGTTTCACCAGCCAAGTAAACAAAGCGCCACTGAGGCTCCCAGTCTGAGTGGTGACTGTTTCCAGTACACATAGACCTAAAGTATATGCGTGTAAGATCCCAGAGAGTCACTGTTTGGATAGAGCTAATACCTCTGTGTGCTTTTTTTTTTTTTTTAATCAAGATAAGTTTTATTTGAACCACTGGATGGAATTTCACACTCATTCCACTTTGCCTAGACTTTGGAGGGAGGGAGATGTATGAAGTGCTTCATCTGTTATTGCGCAAATTGCATCAAAAATAGTATTTAACCTTTCTGTACCTGTTGGCTAAGTATAGCAGGCTAATTGTTTTCCTATATTATGGCATGGCAAATAGCATTTGTATTTCAGATTCAGGTATATGTAGCTATAGCTGTTGTGTTTAAGATTTTAAAAGAATAATAACATGGAAGATATTTATGTAAACTGACTGTACTATAAGCAAAGATTGTGTGTTTTATGTATGATGATGATCAACGACAGGCACTAGGACAGCCATCTTTGGACATCCTTATGTTGAAGATGATTGTGGTTTCTTTTTTCCTTTTTTTTAACCTTTGAGACATCTTTTCTATTGTCCTTTTTTCTTTTTTCATTTGTGCAATATGCTGTGTATGATCATGTTTTGTCCAATCATGCCAATATCATTTGATGTTTATAGCTCAAAACCAGCCAATGTTTGGGTCAATCACTGCCTCTCAGACCTCTGTACAGATTGTCGTTTTTTTATTTGTTTTTCTTTTCTTCCAAGAAGGAAATAAAATCAGCTGGAACTGAAAAGTACAAAGTCTATATTTCTTGTGTTATTTCATTATCTGTACCCTTTAAAAAAAAAGCCAAACTAAATAACTACCATCCACAGTTTTATAGGACTGAACCGCCGCAGTCACACATATTGAAGCCCCCAGCATGCTCAAGGAAAATGTGAGCCTTCATTATCACATTCCACAGCTAAGCCTCATTCAAAAGATCCAATCTGATGTCTGATGTTTACACTCTGTGCACGTGTGCGCACAAATATGTGTTTGGCTGTGGGCCGCAGACGTGTTGGTGAATCAATAGCCAGCCAGTCAATCGATAGGAGTGGTCTCTTTCTCTCTCCCTCTTACTCCGTCTGATTCCACACGTGCAGAAAACGTGGCTGCCATGGAAACACTGTATCCAAGAGAGAGGCTGCAGTCTGCTCTTTATATGTGTGTGTGTGTGTGTGTGTGTGTGTGTGTGTGTGAGGTATAAGGGACACAGACTGATCCATTGGGGTGGGGCGGTTGGGGGGCGTCAGACATTTCTGCAAGGCATGACTGGAATAAAGGAGGAGGAGGCGTGTGTGTCTGTCTGCGGGTGAGTGTGCCAGTGGGAGGGAGGATAAGGTGCAGGGGGGGGGGGGGGGTGTTTGTCTGTCCTGGTGGATCGTGCAGGAGACTGCTCCCAAATCCAATTAATTCCTTCTGGATGCCTTCATTTGTCTCGTGCATCTGACGAGAAAGAGAAACGGAGAGAGAGAGAGAGAGAGACCCCTAAGGTACAGTATTTAGTGTGTATCAATTTACGCCCTATTCCACAAGAGACATTGGTAATTATTTCCATCTCTCTCTGTCAGGAGAGCAGGGTCGTCTCCAGCTTTCCTCTGACATGTTGGGCTGGGTAATGAGAAAGATAAGGCATGGCCATTACACACACCATCCCAACGACGAGACGCTGGCCCCCAGATGTCTGCAATAAGGTCGACATCACACAGGAAATACTGTGTGAGGTGTACCTGTTAAAAAAGAAAGAAAAGTCCAATCACCCCCAGAGTCTGATGGATACCGGGAGATAAAAAAATAAAAAGATGCTCTCCTCACACGCACATTCACACACTGACCCACATAAAGACGTGCGTGAGTGTAAACAGATGTAATCAAGAGAGATGCCGTACGCTTGACCCTCATGGCTGATCGCAACAGCTTATTTGTTTCCTGTGAGAGTCTGAGATCCACAAAGTCAACATGTCTGCTTAAAATATTAAAGTACAGTTCTATCCGTGTGCTCCAATTCAGAGCAAAAGATCACATTGTGTTTGACTTCAGAGCAGAATTGCTTTACAAAAAATTCAAAACTGAAACTGGATTCTGCTCTGTGTTCCTCTTAAAAAATAAAATTAAAAAATAACACAATATTTCATACACTCATAGTGTGTTTTGCCTCACCAGCGATGAAAGTAACTGAGGACATTCGCTCAAGCGCTGTACTTAAGTACACTTTTGGGGTACTTGAGTATTTCCATTTACACTCCATATGTTTCAGAGGAGAATATTCTACTTTCCCACAAATGGAACTGTAGTTACTTTTCATTAAAACCACATGATAAGCTTATGACATACAATGCATTTCTGAGGAAACCAACCTTTTTGGCTTATGAACCCTCACATGTCTATGAGTTGTTAACAGTAAACATTTCACCAAAAATATTAGATAAAACCTATCTTTTACCTCCTTAATCATCTCATGACCCCTCATATTTATCTTGTGAACCTTTGGAGGGGCCCGACCCCTCGGTTGGGAACCACTGGACTAAACTACCTAAGTGTATATAGCACTTAGGTAGTTTAGTCTGTGTATTTAGTACTTAAAACTATAAGTACTCAATCAAGTAATAATCAACAAATCATCTCCACCTGAAATAAAACAGCAATATCATATGAAGTATCAGTCACAGGGCTGCACTCCATCCTGCAGAGCGAGTATTTTTTACTTTTGATAAGTACTTTCTGCTGATGAGAGAGCACTTTGAGTATTTCTAATGTTGAATTGGTACATTTACTTAAGGGAACACTCCATCACTGTGTGTGCGTGTTTGTGGGAAACTTTGTCACATATATTCCTATTATTTCTCTTCTGGATGATCCACTAAGTCTGTTGTACCATTACTTTTCGATATATCAGTGTATTTCATCTTTTATTCATGCTGATACCACACAAGTAACACATAGAAGTCCACAGGACTTTTACAGTGATATTACATAAGCTAAACATACCATGAAGTGATGCACTTTAAGTCCAAATGGATATTTTATAGGAATAATATAGAACACGATATTGATAGTAGAGGAGATATAAACACCATTCAGCCCACATAAAGGCGCCTAAGAACACCACAGACGCCCTCACAGTCCCTAAAGGAATAACACAGGAGCGTTGCGGTGATTTTTTTTTGCACGCTGCCGGTGAAGTTGAAGGCGGGACACGAAGTCATAAGTCATGCACAGACAAAGAAATATGCAAACACCGCTGTCATGGCACCAGCCCAACTTTGTTTCACTGATTTGCAGCGAGTTGCGCTCCTGCCGTCTTTTGCTCTGAGGGTCGAATCGAGTCGAATTATTTATCAGATGGAAGCGTGGAGATAAAAAAAAAAAAAAAAAAAAGTTTGCGGAGTGAGACTAAACTTTTATCCCGAGTCATGTGTCAGCGGTATGAGTGGAGACAAAGGGAAGGGAGTTGATGCGGATGGCAATGCGTACAATTCGAAAAAAAGTGGATTCAGGAAGAAAGCTGGACTTTGTCAGGTAGGCTGTTACTAATAATACACGTCCTATGCTACTTTTATTGGTGAAGCAATATCTCCACGTGCTGCTTTATTTTTCGTGTCCCCAAGGTTTCTTTTTTATAGAGATGACTGCCATCTTAAAGATAAGAGTTTCTCTGGCTTCGAAGTCAGTAAAGAAACATTTCTCACCAACGAGGGACTGCGAGCTTTTGTTAATAAAAAAAGGAAAAAACATAAAAGCTCTAACGGTATATTTGTAGGAGATCCGAGGATGTCTGATGCTAAATCTGGACTTTAAAGGTAACTTCTGCCAGGCACGCTTCTGCGACAGCAGCCAGCATCAGACAGGACTGCTAAGTTGTGTCCAGTTAATTATTGTGACGATTAAATGCTGTTCGGAGTGCCTGCTGACTGCCCACTTTCAGCACAGCCAGGGCTGGACAGCGGCTGTCTGGAATGATGCGTGTGTGTGTGTGTGTGTGTGTGTGTGCATATAGATGTGTGTGTGAAAGCAGTTGCGCGTGGAGCAATGATTACAGTTTGTATGCCTAACCTATTTGATGGGTGGGGACTTAATTGGACACAAATGCACATTGTAGCACAATCCAATATTGTGGACGGTTACAAGACAGGGTTAAATGATGTCTGCCAGTGCGGGGGGGGGGCATAGGACATGCTTGCCCCGGGGCTGCTGTCCGGGTAAACAGGGTAGTGCCCCCATTAAATCTCCATCAGCAGATAAACACAGCAGTTGTAAACATATGACAGAGCTACAGTTAAAATAAATCCTGGAGTGGTTTTCTCCTCTTGAAGCACCACGTGCTTAGTGACTGAGGGTTATCTTGATTAAGAGGCTGTACACAGACTATTGAGCAGGGGAGGGGCGTGGACATCATGTTTTCCTTTTAAAGACGAGACACCCCAGGCAAAAACTTTGTTTTCCTGCACTGGTCCATTTTGAGTTTTTTTTGGGCTATTTTGCCCATATATATATATATAGTTTTTATATAAAGTTTCTTTTTTTCCACCTATTCACCTGGGGTTGCACACTAACAAGTTATACACTTTTTGTTCTGGGTCTTCTGTTTGTTCCATGTTTCACGTTTTTTTTATTCATGTTCAGTGTTTCTTGTTTTATTTTGATACTCACTTCCTCTACTGTTGCAGACAACTTCATTTTCCCACCTGCGTGATTGACGGCCCCGCCCTGATTGTTTTCACCTGTCCCTCATTGTCACCCTCCTTTCCTTGTGTATTTAGTCTCTGTGCTCTCTTTGTCTCGTGACAGTTGGTCATTCTTCTCAGTTCCTTGTATCAAGCGCTCCGGTCCTGACTCCTAGTCCTGGTTTTACTTCCGTTTCCTGACGGATTTAGGACACACCCACTGTAAGTTATTTTTGTTAATAAATCATTGAACCCTTCCTGCTGCCTCCTCATCAGTTTGTCTGCATTGGGGCCCAAATCCGCAATTCCCGAGACAGCCAACAACTGTACATCAAAAATGAATAGGTATTTACAAATTTATGACGAAAATAACAAAATGGTGAATATTCTTGTCACTTTATTTCAGGATAAAGAGCTGGCAAGCAAACATTTATTGCCGTCATCGAAAGAGTGAACTGGACCCAACGTGTCTTACTGATCTTGGATTATATTTTGGACTAACTATATATTTTAATATCTAATCTCTCTTTTTTGTGAATCACTAACATCCATAAAGATCCATTGAATTCAATGTTTATCTAAGCATTTGACCGTCTTTATCTTGCAAAGGAAGGCTGAAATGAAATGTAAATCATGGGTGAGAATCAAAAGACAATTGCCTCCAGAGCTCCGAAAAATAAACAATTCAGACCGCCTTCCCTTCAGCAAAGAGAAAATCTTAAAACCTTGTCACCCCCCCTTAATCATTTTTGCACAGTCCCTTACTGCATGACAGTCTGAATCACTTTGTTTGCGAGTTCATTACGCTCATAACAGTTTATCTCTGTGACATGAGTGCCAGGAGAAGAGAAGTCGTGAGTATAGACGGTGGCAAACAGCAGAGTGTCCTCTCGGTACAGGCTCGTGAGGACACACGAGACGGTATCACTCCACCTACATCCAGGCTTGGGCCTGAGTGTGCAGTCAGACATCGTGGCACACTGTGTACTGCACATGGAGAACTCGCTGTTAAGCACTGTGCTGAAACAGTTTAGCATGACAGAGGCATTCTGAGTCATCGTGGTAGGTGTTGTACTGTAGTGCATGCTTG